ATACAGTATATATATATATATATATATATATTAAAGAATTATAATTATAATAATACAGTAATTAATTTATTGATTTATATTAAATATTTGTTTGTATTATTTAATATAATAATTATATTTAATATGTATTTATTGCAAATTATTTAATTATTTAAAACAGTAATTATATTAATTATATTTAAATTATTTCATATAGTAATATATAAAGTATGTGCGTAACTGGGATGTTTTCAGCTTCCAGGAATTGTGTACAGATCCTTGCAACATGGAGCCATGCATTATCATGCTGCAACATGAGGTGATGGTCGTGGAAGAATGGCACAACAATGGTCCTCAGGATCTTGTCACGGTATCTCTGTGCATTCAAAATGCCATCAATAAAATGATGCACCTGTGTTCGTTGTCCATAACATACGCCTGCCCATACCAGAACTTAAATGATTTTAGCAAATGGCTGCAATATAACAAAGAGTGAAAAATTTAAGGGGGTCTGAATACTTTCCGTACCCACTGTATATAATTTATTTATATTTACTATAATAATGATATTTAATATTTACTTATCAATTTTAATTAATTTATTAATCAATTTGCATATATATAAAATACAAAAATAAATTATATATAGTAATTCAATTATATAATACATATTTTATATATTTTGTAATAAATATTTTAGATGTTTATTTCTATATATATATTTTTTTTTTAATATAACAATGAATAGTATTATATATTACTATATTATATATAATATTTATAATATTTAACAATTATTTAAAAATATATAATGACTATATAATATAGATATTATTTATAATGGGTTTATATATTAAGTATTCAAATCTTTTTTAATTAAAAAATGCCCAGAGCTAACTATGCCATTCTCCTACAATGTGGTGAAGGAGTGAAGGGACCAAGGACCCAAACAAGGTTTTATGACCAGTTGAGCTGAAATTATTCATCTCCATGAAAGCCGCACTTCACAGCTCTTCTGTTTGTGCAGAAGTCAGTGGGTGCATGATTTTCAGAAGACAGGGAGTTGAAACGCCGGGGACAGATCTGGAGCAGATTAAGGATGGATGTGTCTTTGATGCACACTGACAGCCCTGCTTAAGATGGGCATTAATACATAAGTGTGCGATGATCAAAACGACCGCTCTCTCAGCCCAAGTGAGAGCTGATTGCATTATGGCTCATCAAAACTGTGCATTTACAAGTAGACAAGGACATTATGGCGGTTCTGTTTAAAGGCATCTGTAGCTTCACTTCAGAGTTTCTGTGTTTGGTGTCAAGGTAAAAAGAACCTCCTGAAGAGTTAGTATGAGACCGTTGAGTGCAATCTGAGAGGAGAGATATCCTGAACATTTGATCCACTTCCACCTCTGACCTGGTGTGTTGCATGTCCACAGATCATGATCGGAGAGGGGATTCTGTTCTGCTGTCTGTCCCGAGCGCAGTGCAGAGGAGGAGCTGAAGCCGATATCAACGCCGCGGGCTGCAACTTTAACTCTTTCGTCCGGCGAGGTGTCAGGTTTGTGGGTAGGTCACATTTCTTGTTGATATCTGTCGTTCACTCCTGATTAGCCTTTATTCCGTTACCTGTGATTAGGGCCCACGTGGAATGTAGAATTTTTTTGACCAGAATTCTTTGAAATGACTACCAGTAAAATTGATAAATATTTGGGACCAAAAATTATTTACAATTTGACCTGACCATGTTTTGCTTAAGTGTTTTTCTTTAATTGCTAATGCGACCTTTTTACACCACAGACTGACAGCTATTCAACCTAATCTATTACATACCTTTCTATCAAAGTTATCTGACATTATCAAGGTGAAGTTGTTCTGACACAGTTTAAGTCATATGTTATTACCATTTTCGGTTACACTTTACAATAAGGTTCATTAGTTAACATTAGTTAACTACTTTAGTTAACATGAACTAAGCATGAACAATACTTCTACAGCATTTATTAATCTTAGTTCATGTTCATTTCAACATTTATTAATGCATTATTAAAATCAAAAGTTGTGCTTGTTCACATCAGTTAATGCACTGTGAATTAACATGAACTAACAATGAACAACTGTATTTTCAATAACTAACATTAACAAAGATTAATAAATACTGTAATAAATGTATTGTTCATTGTTTGTTCATGTTATTTAATACATTAACTAACATTAACTAATGGAACCTTATTGTAAAGTGTTACCCCATTTTCTAAACTATAGCAAATAAACTGTGATAATGTGAGAAAGGTTGAAGGTGTCTGAATACATTATGGTTTGACTGTTCGTTTTTCACTTTTAAAGTTTTCACGCAAAACACAGATTGATATTTAATATCAACCCGATCGCACGGCAATTCATACATTTTTGACAAGGTGGCTAATTCATATGAGTTCGTACAACCTCACTCACGAATTCATACAATTTGTGAAAAATCTTTTTTATAATAAAAAAGAAAAAATATATTTATAAAAATAATATTTTATGAGGTGGCAAATTCGTAGGAAGGAGCAGACCTAACCCCGGCCCAAAACTTAACCGTCACAGAAATCGTACAAAATCGTATAAGTGAGGTCATACGAATTCGTACAAATTAGCCACCACGTAAAATACATACAAATTGGCCATGAGAATAGTGTTGGTCATATCAGCCAACATATTGTTTATCAACTTGAATAAATATCAGTGCTTCACATTCAGTGTCTTTTTTCCTTTCAGGCGTTCATGTGTTTGGCTTATGTGCCACGGCTTTGATTACCGACATCATCCAGTTGTCGACAGGTTACCCCGCCCCCTACTTCCTGACTGTCTGCAAGCCCAACTACACTCACCTCAATTCCTCCTGTGACGAAAGTTTCTTCATCCTGGAGGACATCTGCTCAGGATCTGACGCCGCTGTCATCAACGCCGGCAGGTACGGCTCTGATTCATGGCGAACCGGGACCTAGATCCCTGTTGGATTAACAGTGCCACAGTCATGTGAAACATAGATTATCTTAACCCCCGCTTATACAGACAAGTTGATAAAAAAAGTCTTGAAATATTACTCAAGTGTGAACTCCTGATACTCAGGGATTTCATACGAACGAAACAGGCACAAGAGCCTGCATGGATCAGAGCCAAGCCCCAGTGCAGCCTAAGAATAGAGGCTGTAGATTAAAGGAATAGCTTTTGATGTACTTTTTAACAAGGTTGGTTTTCAAGGGAACAGATGAGGCTGTGGACCATCTCTTCACTAGTGTAGATTCACTAAATAATGAAGTACTGAAGTGGCTTATGAATTTCTGAGTATACAGTACAGTACACTGACACAAATACCGTTTACTCTGTTTATAACTCCAGCTCTGTCTGGAGAGATTCTCTGTTGTGATGATTCGGGAACTCGCTGTCAGACTGAGTTGGACGTGTTGTAGATGTGTTTTTGTAAGAAAAATATCCATATTCAAAATGTAATAATCACTTTAATGTAGCTTGCGCCAACAGTCCAACACGGAAGCAGCTCCGGGCGGATGATGTTTGAGTTCAGCATTGCGCATGCGCCGGTGAGTCTCGTGAAAACCAACGTTTGTTAACGGAAGCAAAGTTTCCTTACTTTAGCAAAGGAAAACCAGTCTCATCTTGGCTTATATCGAAATCCTCCGACATTCTTCTTTACAAATCCTCATTTTGTACTTCTAATAAGTGACCAGTGTTTTGTTTTGATCTCTCCCCTGCGATTCCGCGTTCGTCACTTCTGAGCGGCGCATGCGCAAAGCCGACCTCCATACGTCATCCGCCCGGAGCTGCTTCCGTGTACTATTAAAGTGATTATTACGTTTTGAATATGGATATTTTTCTTACAAAAACACATCGATTCGCTACAGGAGGCCTTTGTTCACCCCCTGGAGCCGTGTGAGACACTTTTTTTATGGATGGGTGCTTTTTATTTAACTTCTTTTGGACTGATGCATGCAACACCCAGTGAGTGCCATTAAACAGCTTGAAAGATCAAAGACAATTTTTAATATAACTCCGACTGGATTCGTCTGAAAGAAGAAAGTCATATACACCTAGGATGACTTGAGGGTGAGTAATTTGTGGGCTAATTTTCATTTTTGGGTTGACTAACCCTATAAGTCATATCTATGATCTAGAGTAGCAGTGCACTACAAACCACGCATTTCAACCCTAGAAACTGCAAAGATACACTAAAAACCACCTTTAACACCCTAGCAACCACATAGAAACGCACTAAAAACCACCCTATACCAACCATACAGCAACACATTAGAAACCACCCCTAACACTCTCCAGCAACCGCATATAAACTCAATATGACAATATGCATCTAGAAGAGAGGTGCTGAGGTGATGTATTTCAAATGCGTCTGCTGTATTCTTTTTCATTTGATGACAGAGTTGATCGCAATTGCTTTCATTTATTTCAGAAAATCCTTCCCATCACAGCATGCAACGCTGGCTTCCTTTGCTGCCGTGTATGTCTCGGTGAGTTAAAGTCAGTCATTCAGAAGCATTCAGGCACTTTCAATTCACTGTGTTGTTAGAGACTGATAAAAATTGGAGCTGCACTTGTGTCACCTTCTGTGCAAAACTGACCCTGATGTGTGGATAAAAGGACAACAGCTCTCCACTGTAATTTGTGCGGCAACATCCAGATGCCTTCATGCAGTTTAGTGGAGCTTGTCAAAGTAGCGAAATGGAGTGTTGGCCCATTTGAGCCGCAGAGTGTGTGTGTGTTTTTGTGTGTTTGTGTGTAATTATCCATTTGAGGGTAGGAATACATTTTTCTCTTTTTTCTTCTTGTCATGAACTATGTGCACATTATATAAGCTAACAGAATGCCAGTAAAGGCATTTAGATTTGCATAAGGATTTATAAATTGGGTATTCTAGACATCATAAGAATGTGTGTTTACATGCACCAATCTTATACCACTTATACATAAAGAGCTAAAAATGTGTAAAGTGTAAACACCTTTACTGGTAGGTGGCAGATTATTTAATGTATGACTGTTTAAGTTTTGATGTCAAACCCAGAGATCAAAAAAACTTGATCTCAAGTGTGGTTTTCAGTCTATATAGCTCCTTTCTCAAGCTCAAGGTCATTTGATTCATTATATAAAACAAAGAATCTGTTATTTATAATGAGCTGATATACTCAATGTGATTTTTCTTAAAGCGCCTATGAATATGCCTGATAAAAGAGCACAGTTTAAGCTATTGAAATGACCTTACACATTGTCATCTTATGTACAGTATGTCTAATAATCTTGAGTCAGTGGGTGGTGACTCATGTCTCTGGGAACCGTACCAACCATCTCACGACTCTGGGGTTTACCAAATCACAAAATGTGCTTCAGTGGTGTAGCGATAATGATACACTCAATCAGCTGAATCATGTGGTTAATTAATTTGGTTTGAAGATTCTTATAATTATCAAAGTGTGTATGAATTTTTTTGCAGTGCAAATGTTATGGTTCTGGCTCCCTACCTGATTCTGCTTTGACTTGGAAACATCACAGAACATCTGTGATCTTGATCGTCTTTTCCTTGTGCAGATGTATTTCAACAGCACGCTAACAGACTCATCCAAACTGCTGAAGCCTCTTCTGGTGTTCTCCTTCATCATCTCTGCCATCATATGTGGCCTAACCCGCATTATTCAGCACAAGAACCACGCCATTGATGTTTACCTGGGCTTCCTGCTAGGAGGGGGCATCGCTGTTTATCTAGTGAGATGAATATAAGCAGATTGTCATATATTTAATAGCATTTTAAAGAAATTTCACAAGACAAAGTGTCTTGGAAATGCAGTTTACTTGCATGTCTAAAACATAAAACATGGACACCATGATTTAGTTAACTAGGACATGTTCCTGGATCAGACTTTTGTTGGTTCTGGAACAACATTCCCATCAAACAATCGTAAGCCAAGCTCTAACACTGCCCTAAAATCAGAGGGAATCAGACATTTTTTTCATGCTCTAAACTTAAGCCTTAAGCCGAACCCTAAAATCGGACTAGTTGACAGAAAAGTTGTTCCAGGACCAAAAAGGGAATTGGAATTTTTTTTATGCTCCAAACTCAAGCTTTAAGTCTAACCCTAAAATCAAACTAGTTGACAGAAAAGTTGTTCCAAGACCAAAAAGGTAATTGTAATTTTTTTTTTCATGCTCCAAACTCAAGCCCTAACCATAAAATTGAACTAGTTGACAGAAAAGTTGTTCCAGGACCAAAAAGGTAATTGTAATTATTTTTTTCATGCTCCAAACTCCAGCCCTAAGCTTAACCCTAAAATCGGACTAGTTGACAGAAAAGCTGTTCCAGGACCAAAAAGGGAATTGGAATTTTTTTCATGCTCCAAACTCAAGCTCTAAGTCTAACCCTAAAATCGGATTAGTTGACAGAAAAGTTGTTCCAGGACCAAAAAGAATATTGATCCAGGAACATGTCCCACTCAAGAAAATTGTGTTACCCACACCGTTATTATTAAAGGGTTAGTTCACCCCAAAATGATAATTCTGTTGTTAATTACTCACCCTCATGTCGTTCCAAACCCGTAAGACCTTCATTCATCTTCGGAATACAAATTAAGATATTTTTGATGGAACTTGAGAGCTCTCTGACCCTCCCATAGACAGAAATGCAACTGCAATGTTCCCAGGTCCAGAAATGTAGTAAGGACATTGGTAAAACAGTCCATGTGACATCAGTGGCTCAACTTCAATTTTGTGAAGCTACAAGAATGCGTTTTGTGCGCAAAGAAAACAAAACCCTGTTGAAAAAAACAGCATATGCTGGTTAGGTATGTTTTGAAGCATGGCTGCTGGTTTGAGCTGGTTTAAGCTGGTCCTTAGCTGGTCATGAGCTGGTTTAAGCTGGTCATGTGCTGGTCCTAAGCTGGTCCTGAGCAGGAGCTAGTTGCTCAGGACTAGCTTAGGACCAGCACATGACCAGTTTAAACCAGTTCAAACTAGCAGCCATGCTTCAAAACATACCTAACTAGCATGTGCTTTTTTTCAACAAGGAAATAACAACTTTATTCAACAATTCTTCTCCCCCGAGTTACTGTCTTCTGCCATTTGAGAGAATCACAACGCATACACACGTTTAACTGTAAGTGTAAACAACACTGATTACACCGATTATGTTCTTGGGTACTCTCCAAAATGGTGGAAGACGTAACTCGAGGGAGAAGAATTGTTAAATAAATTGCTATTTTTGTTTTCTTTGCACACAAAAATTATTCTCGTAGCTTCACAAAATTTAAGTTGAGCAACTGATGTCACATGGACTGTTTTACCTTACTACATTTCTGGACCTGGGAACATTAAAGTTGCATTGCTTTCGATGGGAGGGTCAGAGAGCTCTCAGATTCCACTAACTCTTTAAGTATGTTAGGAAATACAATTGAAATACTGTGTTTTGTCCATCCAGGGTTTGTTTGCTGTAGGAAACTTCCAACCGAACAAGGAGAAACAGACAAGTCAGCTTCACATTCGCAATTCTCATCGAACTATGGCTGACCTTTGCCAGCAAGGTCACCACCTACCTGCCAAGAGCTGCAGTGGCAGCGATGGTCTCTCATCTTCCTGCTCCGAGGGCATCCTGCATCGCAACACCCAACACCACCAGGCTGGATCTCTTAGCAGCCTGAAAAGACCAAGTGGAGATGTGGAGGTTATCACCTGCAGTCCTCCACACAAGCAGAACATGGTGACATTCAACACCTTGCCCAGAGTGCATACGCCTGCCATGGACGAGTCTGCTTTCCGCAACGCCACCATCCACACCTCCTCTGTAGATTCAAGTCGATCGAAGCAGCTGCTGATGCAATGGAAGAGTAAGAACGAGAACCATAAACACTCCCTGCATGCCATGGAAGGCGGACCAGGACTGTCCCCTCCAAACAGCATGGACATCCGCTGCAATTCCGAACCCTCAGCTGTAGGAATCAATGGTGAACATCAGGGACCTGGAACCCCATACCTAAAAATGGCCACTGGAAGTACAACACTACCAAGCAACCCCAGTGGAATTGCTGGCGGTGCTCGGATACCCATGCAGTCTCGGCCTGGTTCCTCGCAGTTGGTGCACATCCCAGAGGAGACACAGGAGAACATGGGTGGCTTGCCAAATACCAGTAATGCCCGGGACAAATGGCTTAAAAGCATAGAGAAGACTGGGGAGAAGGGTGGGGAGGTACCGGTGGTTAGGACTAACTCTAATGGCCAGCCGCGCATCATGCAGGTCATTGCAATGTCCAAGCAGCAAGGTCTCCTGCAGGGGAGCTCTCCCAGTTCTGAGAGCAGCAGCCACACCAGCTCCACTGCACCTCTGCAGCGCTACAAGAGCCTAACTGAGGAGTCTGGAGTTCAAGGCAGCACTGGAGCCATCATTCGGGTGGAAGCCCATCCAGAGAACGGCCGACCCCTGGTGCATGCGCACTCCACGGATGGAAGTGGCTCCTGGACATGGAAGTCCCAAAGCAGCTTCAGACAGTCATTTGAGCTCAATGACTTGAATCGAGACTCGGAGAGCTCAGAATCCGTGAGGGATGGGAACAGTTCTACGGACAGAAAGAAGAATGGCTCTAATGCTCCTAAAGTCGTCGCAGTACCAACTGTCCCTACATTATCTACAGCAGGTAGTGACCACCATCCCAACCAGACCATTTCCACCATCCAGGTCACTCCCATGGAAATGACTGTATCTGGTCCAGAGAGTCGCGATTCGAGCATGCGCAGAAAAACCAGAATCCTTATCCCTGAAAGAGGAAACAGTCCAGACAATACCAGGAATATTTTTTACAAGGGAACATCCACCACCCCAGTTTTCAAAGAGTAGTCAGTAATTATCTTGACATGAACAAAAAAATTAAGAAACCAGAAGAGGTTGGGTGTTGTGTAGACACATATGCTATGTTTTACACATCTCCAATGGCATCACCTGTTATGCATGAGATTATTCACTGACCTAAAATTATATGGTAGCAAGAAAAGCACAAAATCCAGATTTTGGTCAGAATTTTGTTTACATATGACAGTATATCATATGGAAATGGTCTTACCTTTAGTGAAACACTGTGAAGCTGGAACTGTGACCGTGCCAAGATTGAACTGCAACACTGTATTTAAGTATTTAACATCTCAGATATCTTAAAAGATTTTCCATATAGTCATACTTCCACTTATTCATACACTGATAACTATGCTAGCTGAAACTCTTATTTTTGTATTCTATCAATAACTTTTAAACTTGGTGCTGTCCAATTCTGAGAACATTAAAAACAAAAAGTTAAGAAGAAAATAGAAAAAAATAGTGCAGTGCACTCTTCTGAAAACTGTCATTTGAAATTTCTTATGACCATAAGTGCTTAGAATATTCTCTGTAGCAAAATGATAGTCATTAAATGACATGCACTTCACGTTTACTACTTGCAATACAAATACTTTACATACTGTATGTACTGTATCTGTAGAAATGTGCACTTAAATGCACATTCATGTATATTTTATTAGACACATAATATTGTATGTATCAGTGTCTATCCAAAAGAGAAAAATAAAAAAAACCTAAATTTTACGTACAGATAGCAATGAATACTAATGAGATTTATTACTTCCATTTAAGACTATTATTGTGAAAAAAACAAACATTATTATTGCAACTAATGTCTATCTTCCACTCTTTTCTCAAATGTATATTTGCATAACAGAATTAATTTTACTTGTTTCCCTTCAAATAATTCTGAATTCATGTCATAGTTATTTAAAGGTTAGCTGCATTAGTAGCAAAACGATATTCCACGTTGATTTTCTAACTGTGGTTATTCCACTGTGAGCTCCAGTTTTTTAGCCAAACAATCATATTAAATGTTTTATACTGTATACACTTGTGTAGCCGCACACTAAATTTTTTAAACGGCTTTACTGTTCACAAAGAGATTTGCATTGAGCGAGAAGTGGCTCATTAAATCTAGTGTCATCTTAGCTGTTAAAAACTACAGCAGTGACATTTAATTCCATGATCATTTACTGTGTAATTTTTTATAAACTGTAAATGAATGTGCCAAAGGGTATTTTAAAGGGAAGATTCAGTTTTGAAACATTTCTATAGAAGTCTGTATTCTTATAAACCACAAACTCTTTCAGCACAGCTGTAGCCAGTGCATGGTAGTTTGATATTTCACATTTATTTTTGGTTTCCTTTTTGTAAATTATGCATTTGTGTAGCAGCTGCATATGTGATTATTTATACTGAATATAAATGACTTGTTGACAATCTTTATAGATAAAGTCACACCAGAATACACTGTATGTTATCTCTAACATGTTGAGAGATTGTTTAGATACCCGTTAATGTGCACTAACGATTTTAGAAATTCATTAAGCATGCTGGTAGCAGTTTGTGTTTTCTGAGGAAAGTTTTACACTGTAGCACTCTGTGTAACTGTCATCGACACAGTGACATGAGGTTCAGTTTGGATAGGAATGAATCCAGTCGAACCTGTTACAGTGATGTTACGTGTTAGTGTTGCAGCGACCAGACAGAAAAATAATATCAAACTTTGTTAATGTATGTCACCTTTGAGAATACACACAGTTTGTTTCTATCGTTACATGGTTCTGTTTTACTCCAGTAAACAGGGTAGATGAAGAAAAACTGTGCTGTATCAGTGTTTGAATAAACATTTGTCATTTAAAACTGCTGAGTCTCTTAAATAATGAATTGGCTGCACATTTATAATGGCACTTTCCACAAATAAGGCACAAAAACTCTTTTAAAAATGTCAGATTAACTATTACAAATGTTCTGTTTTCTATTTATTTTACTTGAGCTATGCCTTTATTGTTGAATGCAATATAATGTCCGAATACATTTAAAAACTCAATCTGATTTTAATAATTTTTTAACAACAATATTGACTAAACAGACATACAGTCATTTTTTTTAAAGTCAATCAAATAAAAAGTAATATTAAATAAAAAAATGTAAATAAAAATATAATTTTTTTAATAATTTTTGCAATTCATCAGATTATCCCAAAATTATAACACTATGACATATTTAATTATTGGATACTGTCAACTACTGGACTACTGAACTAGGACTTAAATGGCAAAACTGGAATGGGATGCTATTCCTGGAAAGTGCCTCATGTTTCTTCATCACTACTGTCATAATAATGTATAAATATTATGGTGTGAGAATGATTTCTCTGTCAGCTGAGAACAGTCAACAGCCATACACGAATATGACAGACTGGGTCGAATACAGATTCAGGCGTAACGAGTTTAAATCATTGCCTGTGGTCTTTCGTCCATCCTCGAAAATTAGCACGGTTAGATAACTCACATCCTTTCCTCTACACCAGGGGTAGGCAAGTTCGGTCCTATAGAGCTCCTGCAGAGTTCAGCTCCAACCCTGAAAAAAAAACCTCACCTGCCTATAGCCTTCGTAATCCTGAAGACATTGATTAGCTTGTTCAGGTGTGTTTGATTAGGGTTGGAGCTGAACTCTGCAGGACTGCGGCTCTCTAGGACCGAACTCGCCTACCCCTGCCCTACACCATCCTACGTCTCCTGCATTAAGCAAACCAAAGCTGGCATGCAGTGCTTTATCCATGGCTATACATTTAATGAGGATGTTTTAAAAGAAACATTAATTTCACACCAGATCAAGAATGCGCGACGCCACACAAACACACACACACAAGCTCCCTTCATGATCAGGAAACGCTGGTCTCATTAAGACTGCCATGTGTAATTATCATCGTACAGTATAAAGTAGGTCAGTGAATTGACCTAAATTGAATGCGAGTGCTGCCAGATACAACTCATCTCTTATGAACTGATAAAGTAAACCAAACGAAAATAAAACTATATAAACTCAACAATGGAAGCTCTGGATCATACAGAAAAACTTGGTTACACTTTATTTCGATAGTCCACTTTAGACATTCTACTAACTATAAGAAACTTTGTAACTACATGTCAACTAATTCTCATTAATTTGCAACTACATGTCTACTAACTCTCAGCGTAGACTGTTAGGGTAGGTTTAGGGTTAGTAGAATGTTGACAAAGAAAGTGTTAGAAGATATTAAGCAGACAGTCTACTAATACTCTACTAACTGCTAGTTGACATGTAGTTGCAAAGTTACTTGCTGTTAATAGAATGTCTAAAGTGGACTATCGAAATAAAGTGTTATCAAAAACTTTTGTCTAGCCAAAACATGTAAAGCAGTGGTTGTCATTTTCAAGTATCCATTCTCTAAACATCATGACTCAAACAGAATCGCTAATACATAATATACATAATCTTACGAAAAAGAACCATATAGCAACCATTATTTAAGTGCACAGCTAGTATAGTTAGTAACCACAAGTAAAACTACAAATAAATACCACAGTACCATGCTAGTTAGAGTAAGGTAAGGGAAATCCATGTTTATTTTCAGCCTAGATTACTTCAATACAGTACTTCTTCAAAATCAGCCAACATCATTTGTTTAAATCCTAGTCTGTACTACTTGTGTGTTCAGTTAACATATGGGAGTGCTAACCGGGAAACTATTAAGCTACAAGATCTTGAAATCTGTGAAGCTAACATGCTAAAGCTAATGTGGGCTGTGGGTTCCCAAGGAAATGACAGGTTCTGAATGAAAGCAACTATTGCCTTTGAATTATTTCGTGTCTGAAAGATGAGGAATTTAGTTTTGGATATGTATTGTTGAATAATGTATTGGATATGAATGAATAATTAATGTGATTCGCTTGACATTCAAACTGATACAATAACAGTGGGATAAAATATGCATAACTGATACAGTAGATGGAAATAAGAATGATTGTTCAGGTGTTGGCAGAACTTTAGAGAGCATGCACATCTGAAATCAGAGGGCATGAAATTCATAAATAGAAATAGCTGAAGACCTTAGTGGTATCATGGATATTTTAACAACTTTGATTAAATGTCCACTTTTTCACAAATCACGCAATTTGAGCAATTGTCATCTAACAAAAAAAATAATAAGGTATAATATAATAAAAACTATTGCTTATTCATAAATAAGATATTATTTAATATATATAAATAATACAAAATAAATGTTATATTAAACGGGGTTGCAGATTTAGCCTAAATTAAGGTATCATTCAGTAGGCCTACCGGGGAAAAAGTGCCAAAAAAACCTGATGAAGCTACCTGTTAACCATTTGCATTTTCATTCATCTCAATGGTAGTTGGTCGGCTGGCGCAGCATGTCCTTTAAACAAATGCCATCTGTGCTCACCCATTATCTAGATTGTGTACACAATAAAATGTTTCATTTGTTGTAAATGCATGGAAACCAGTGATCAATATTCTTAAAATTTTCTCATGAATGACATTAGGGTGAGTACACAATGACTGAGTTTTCATATTTGGATGAAGTACTCCTTAAAGTAAGGGTAAGTTAGGTAAATTGTGAAATTCACATGCCCTTGTCCTTGTTTTAAAGCTGCAACCTTCCAATGCCATTAGAAATTGAAATGCTAATGAATGCCCTTTAAGTGCAGCAGTGACCTTAATGGAACAACCATTTGTCAGCATCACAGTTTATTTATACATCACTGATTTTATATTTACCTCACAGCATATGAGCTCTGAAAGGTCAAAACTCCATGTCATGTTGTATAGGATATGGGCAGAAATGGCACAGGGGCAGCTGGGAAATGAAACAAAGGCCTGATTGTGAAAGCCAGTTGTTTGTCCAATTTGAAATGCATTAGGGGTTCAGGCCAAGCACTTACACATGGTATCTTCACACTTTGGGTGATAAATGACCTGTGGGTATGTATGGATCAATACACAATGTAGAATGCAATTGATTGCAGCATTAAAGATGCTTCAAATATTTACTGTAGTCTGTCCAACAGCTTTTACTAATGGAACACTGCAACTGTCCAGCAACATTCAGATTTAAGGCCTAACTGACAGAAAGCTTCTTTAAGCACATGTCTCATTAGTGAAACTTTTGCCACAGGCAAAAGTCCACTGCACATTATCAATGGTGTAGAGATAGTCAGAGGTCACTATTCCAAACTAAGCAGCTCCAAAACGGCCCATTGCATGTTCAAAGTTTAACAAACTTGTATCCATTGCGAAATCCACATGTCAAAATTCCAGATTGCATAAATTTCCTGTTTTGCCTGTCGAATTTCTCTTTACAAAGTTAAATGTGACCATAAAAAGTGGCATAAAGTCTGGTCCACTCATCCCAATAAAGGTGATAGTCTTTGCAAAAAACACAGAAGAAATGAGCAGAAAATGTATGTATACCTCTTTAGAATTTCAATTTGCCCTAAATTAACAAATACTTTTTCCCCCCACAAATAATAGCTTAAAATATTGATATATTTATTAAATATAATATACAGATTCTAGGTTACCTATTATTAAGAGCAATACAAATATCTTTAAATAAATATTTAAAAAAATAAACAGATATTTGATTTGATCATACTGTACTAACCTAATTTGGTAAATCTAGTAATTTTTCCTCAAAAGTGCATGAAAATTTTTTGACCGTTTTGCTTTTTTGTTTGTTTTTTAGATTTTTTGTTACATTTACAAAATTCAAAATAAAAAAACTAACATTTTTAGAACATCATTTAAAATTGTAACAGAACTGTTGTTTTCTTTTTGAAAAACCTAAATTCACATTTTTTACGGCCAGAGTTGTTATCGTAACAAGACAAAAGGGTGTTTTAAATGTAACATGCAGCCAAATTACTCTAACACAACATATGACACAATGATTTCAAACTGAAAGTCAGAGATGTTGTCTCAAATTCTGGGCCCAGTGCACACTACAGAGACACTGCGCGGCATCTCTGGTGCAAAAAAAAAAAGCTTGAAGTACAAAGGCTTCAAGTAACTTTCATTTGCAGTTTCTGCATCCCTAAAGACCATGTGCAATTCTCACTCTAGTTGATGGATTATAGTTAGTATTCATGATAGTGAAGATGTCTTTTCGTTCAGCATTTCAACACACTCAGCTGAGCTACATTCTCCACAACAAACAAATTCAGCTTTAGAGAGGTAAGGGGACTTTTCCCCATTGATTTTAAGGAGTGCCAGCTCTTCAAACTGCCTTCACCTCTACCACCTCCATACAATTCAACTGTATAGAGTCTAGACAGCTGCTCCATCAATATAGTGGTGTAGACAGACAGACACTGTCATTGAAAACACCTCTGCATCTCTTTGATCTCTTATGGATATTGTATATATAAAATTCAATTTAAATTAAAATTTTAATTTTGAAATCATTATCAAATAAAACACAATACTTTAATTTTATAATATTTTTTAATCATTACTTTGATAATTATCAGATGTAATTGATCACCAAATATTAATGCTGACATAATATAACTAAATTACAATACATTTTAAAATAATTTTAAATGATTACTTTGCTAATATACATTTTATGTGCCTGTATTTTTGTAATTGATCATTGTATATTAATTCTCATATTTCAGCATACTGATGAAACACTGTGACTGGTTTTTCAAACGTTAACCACGGGCTGCTAGCAGATTGATTAGATTTGTTCTGTGGATCATGTC